TTAATGATCCCTTGGGGAATGTGTTTAACTTAATGATCCCTTGGTGAATGTGTTTAACTTAATGATCCCTTGGTGAATATGTTTAACTTAATGATCCCTTGGGGAATGTGTTTAACTTAATGATCCCTTGGTGAATGTGTTTAACTTAATGATCCCTTGGTGAATGTGTTTAACTTAATGATCCCATGGTGAATATGTTTAACATAGTGATCCCTTGGTGAATGTGTTTAACATAGTGATCTCTTGGTGAATGTGTTTAACTTAATGATCCCTTGGTGAATGTGTTTAACTTAATGATCCCATGGTGAATGTGTGTGTAACTTAATGATCCCATGGTGAATGTGTTTAACATAATGATCCCTTGGTGAATGTGTTTTCTAAGGTTATGTCTATTGCCGTATTCCATTGTTAACGAAAACGCCTAGTAATAAAATGATCAAGTTCTATGAAATTGCTACAAAATTATAAACTCCCTCTTGATGTGGCTAGGTTCTTTGTGGGAGTTTTAGGATAAGAATACTTGAATATCTGCACTGTTTCGTTCAGTGTTACGAGTGTACAGTACATACCAAAACGAGGCTAGATTATACGTACTTCCTGTCTTCTTTTGGATTACGCATTTCTCGAAATCCTTTAGCAAACGGGTTATAATCAATCTTCAGCTTGGTTATCTGCAAAAAAATAAATAAATAAGTAAATAAACTTGCTACAAGTACGAAAAGCTTTCCCATATCATGACATTTTCCTTCCCCTCATTTTTTGTTTTGAGTCCTGAGACATCACCCACCGTCAACGCTTGAACTGTTCGTTTACCAATAAATAGTGGGATTGGCCGTCACATTATAATTTAACGCCCCTACGGCTGAAAGGGCGGGCATGTCCAACGACGAGGATTCGAACCCGCGACCCACAGGTTGCGAGACGAGGGTCCTAACCCCCAAGTCATGAACTTATTTATGTTATATATAATTTTGATATCGACAGGTAATAAATAGTACGCTATACTTCAATAATTGGTGGCCTCGTAGTTGGCGTGCCGGACTGTGGATTCAGTGGGTCCAGCGTTCGAGTCCATTTGTTGCAAAAACACAAAGATTGGCGCTCCGCAACTTGGAGCCGCGGGTACGTTACAAGAGCGACAGTCAAATCCAACTATTCAATAAGAGTAGCCCAAGAGTTGGCGGCGAGTGCTGTTCACTAATTGCCTTACCTCGAGACCATTGTAAATAATAAATTTAAAAAAAGAAAAACGTATTCAAGTCATTGCACTGATATAACTGCTGAAGACGACGTAGAAGTCGTCGAAATACGTAACACGTTGTGTTTTTCTAATGGAAACCATGAACAAACTTTTTAATTTTGTAAACAACAAACATTGTATTTCAATTATTTATTAGATTTTAAACATCATACAAGCGACATAAATTCGTAATTTAGATGATATTACTTATTTCTCTCTAAAAAAAAAAACGTAACTAGCTGTAAAATTCCCGTTTAAATTATCAAGGGTTCTGTAACCAATAAAATATCAAAGCCATAAGCAATTCGGGGACAACAAAAAAATTTCAGAAACTGAAAAAAGGGAGGGTGAGTTGATTATTATAAGGTGCATTCGTTTGTTGACTGATAAACACAAAGCTATATCCAATGGACTATATTTGTTACGTCCAATGCAAGGATCGAAACCCGAATTTTAGTTTTAACGAGCCCCAAGTTTACCGCTGAGGCGGGTTAAGTACAAACCACTCGCGAGAAATTACTGTACACAAGAACTAAGTTAAGCCTAATTCGATGACGAGGAACCCACTTTACACAAACCACTCGCGAGAAATTATTGTACACAAGAACTAAGTTAAGCCTAATTAGATGACGAGGAATCCACTTTATAGAAACCACTTGCAAAAAATTATTGTACACAATAACTAAGTTAAGCCTAATTCGATGACGAGGAATCCACTTTACACAAACCACTCGCGAGAAATTATTGTACACAAGAACTAAGTTAAGCCTAATTCGATGACGAGGAACCCACTTTACACAAACCACTCGCGAGAAATTATTGTACACAAGAACTAAGTTAAGCCTAATTCGATGACGAGGAACCCACTTTACACAAACCACTCGCGAGAAATTATTGTACACAAGAACTA